ACAGCTCAGTAAAAATGGCAATAAAGATCCTTAGAAATCATCCAAATCATGTCCCTCCTCCATACCTATTTACCTATTTTACTACAGCCCAGTGAGGGGAAAAGATGAAGAGACGTGTCAAGGCACAGCCTGAGCCTGATCTGCCTGATTCTTAGCCCAGAGCTCTTTCCAGTGTAAGCTTTGTGGCCTGGATTTAGGGGTTAGTTCAACCCTGGTGGGATAAGAAGCCTGGCTTGCTTTTGGGGAAGGGGGAGTATGTGCCCCTTCCCAGAGGTGATATACAAATATTTAACATGCCAACCAATCAGAGCCATTCTGGAAGACCCCTGCTGTGCAGGGCACAGACCCTGTAGTGTTTAGTTGGTGAATCTGGGAAGGCTGGAGTGTCCTGGGCTGCTTGGGCCACTGGAGTGGGACTAAGGGTCGTGGCTACTTACCAACAGTACACATGTGTTTCACTGTTGTCACAGCCAGTACTGCTGTGCCAATGTTATTTTTTGATGATCAGCCCTGCCCCTTTCCAAGCCCTGCTTCCACCATATTTCACCTGGCAAGAAGGGCTTCAAGGAGCACAGCACCACCTGGTGATGGAAAGCCTGCATGGTACTTGGCACGGTGTTTGGCTTGGCGCTGAGGGGTGGGGCCAGGCAGCCAAGGAGCCCGCCAAGGGCGCTGGTGCAGGAGCCGTTTCCTCCTGGGCACTAACAGCCCCCTCCCCGCCCATGTCTTCCCAGTCCCCATTCCTTACAACCCAGAACGCCCCACCCTTCTGCCAGTTGAGTTTGATCGTTTTTTTTTCCAGTCCTACCCCCACTCCCCCAACTCCACCAGGAGCTGGGAAAGGGGTACCAGGGAAGTGGGGAGTCAAAGCTGCCTGTGTGAGGGCACTTACTCAGGAGCACCTATGTGTACCTGAAAGGGCACAGTCTAGTGCCCAAAGGGAGGTGTGAACCCGGGGGTGGAGGCAGGTAACACATCTCTGGGACCACCACGCAGCAGCGCCTACAGAGACAGCCTTGTGGACCCTCTGCCTGCCCCTCCTCTCTGCCCTCACCCAGCTCTTCTAGAGACTAGGAGTTTTGCTGGAGGTGCCTTCCCTGGGGAGGCCAGCTATTGCTAGGCGACAGAGAACCTGAGTGCCTGGTCCTTTTGCTGTAACTGGAGTTTGAACCTCCTCCCTGGGGCCCCTGGGAGGACTCTGATGCCTCCATCCCCAGGGCTTCCTGGGGACAGCTTGCCCCCTCCTTCAAGGCCCTGCTATGTAGCCCAAGGGACCCTGGACTAGATTCAGGGGCATAGCCCAAGGAACTTGGGCTCTGCCACTAACTCCCCGTAGGCTGGTTTTTCCTTTACCCTTAACCATAGGAGTGAGGGAGGGGAGGTAGAATCCCAGCTGGGCCCCACTCTCCCATCCATCAAATCTCCCTGCCCATCTTCCGGTCAAGAGTTCCCAAGGTTTAGATGAGCATGCTGTGAGGTCAGATACACTGTGTGATCTTGGGCCAGTGACAGTACCTCTCTGAGCTGAGCCTCAGTTTTCTCATCTGCAAAATGGGGACAAAATCACACCTGCCTCACAAGAGGCTGTTGCTGAGATTAAATGAGAGAAAATAAACAGAGGGTTAAGCCCAGGGCTGAGTCAGTGCTGAATAATACATGGGTCCAGTTCTTGTTATCATCCAGCTGCCCCACCACCCACCTCTCAAGCCCTTCATTCTGAGTTGTCACCCCTTTTTGGCAGGCTCTCCCTGCAGCCCCGTCCCCTTGGCTCCCACACCAGCCTCTCCCCTCTCCCATCCCCTTCCCAGTCTCTGGGTCCCTTTTGGATTTTCTTTTAAAAAAAAATTCTTCTCTTTTATTCTGTTCCTTTCTCCTCCGAACTTCCCCACCTCTTGGAGGTAGGGCCTTATTCAGTCATTTCAGCCCCAAAAGTGGCTGCCCCAGGTCAGTGCAGAGTTATTTTTATCTCCTTAATCGATAACCAAGAGGCTGCAGGCCCATACCCATTTGAGAAGGGTGGTGGGGGCCAAGGGCCCTCTGTTCCTGCCTATTACACTTTCTTGGGATCTTGGCCTGTATCCTGAATGGAAGGACCCAGGTCTTCAGAAATAGGGCAAAGCAAAAATAAATTACAGGAATAGCTGTAGGGTCTTCGGGTTCACTCATCTCAATTTTCCTTTAACGTTATTGCGATGAAAAAGTGACATCAGGCAGGGATGAGTTGGTGTGGGGCTGGCCTTGGCTGCTATCCAGGCTTTGGGGGAGATTTGCAGGGGGCCTGGCCTTGGAATGTGGCAGTTGCATATGGAGCTGGAGGAAGCCGTGGGGGCTGACAGTCAGGACTACCAGTTTCTCGTGCCAAAGTGAGAAGCCAGGCAGGTTGTTCAAATGCTGTGGGCCTCAGTTTCCCTCTAGGGAACAGGGAGCCTCCCATGCACATGGAGGGGCTGGAAGGGAGGTAGAAGTCTGAACATTTTGGGGAGCGAATGTGCAGAAAGCTGCTGAGGCATGTAAGACTGGGAGTATGGAGCTCTGGGTTCTAATCCTGGTTCTGTCACTAACATTACCTCTCTCTCTCTCTCTCTCTCTCTCTCTCTCTCTCTCTCTGCGGGCCTCAGTTTACCTACTTGCACAATGAGGAGGTTGGGCTGTTCCAGCTGAGACATTCTGTGAGTCACTGGCTCTAAAGCCTGCACTTGGAGACTCGGCCTGAGTGAGCACCTGGGCCAGAGCCAAGCCTCTGGAAAGGCCAGGCAGCTGAGGCCTAACGTCCAAGAGGGAGGTCAGGCCCAGGATTTCGCTTTGTCCCTGGTGCCTTCCTCTGTCTTGCTCACAAATCCAACTGGCTGCCAAGTACTTTCCTTCCATCTGCCTCCCTTTGTCCTCCCCTTTCTATCCCACTTCATCTGTCTTCTGGACCATTCCATCAGCCCTGTCACTGGCCTCCCTGCCTCCCTCTCCCAACAATTCATCTTCCGTACAACTGCCAGGTTGAGTTTCTTAATGCAGCGTTATGCTGCTCAAAACCTTCATTGGCTCCCCACTGCCCAGGAGGACAGGCCAAACTTCTTAGCTGTCCTGATATTTCTCAAGGTCCTCCATGATCTGGCTCCAGCCATATTTCTCACCAGACTCCTTTTACGCTCTATTTTATCCGTCAAATAGAACTTTTACTCAGCTTTGGTTTCCTATCTCTGGACTTGGTCATGCTGTTCCTTTCATTTGGAATGCTTTCTCTACCCTCACTCATTCCCCTGTAATGTCTCAGCATGTCTAAATCTTACTCAGTCTTCAGAGAGTGAAATGCTTCCCTTCTCTGGGGAGCCTGGGATGCCTGATCTCTTCTGTTACCCATGCCTCAAGCTGGACAGGATCCTACCCATGAACCCCCATCAGCCCTATTTATTTTCTGTACCTCTTAATATCCCCTTTGTGTGTGTGTGTGTGTGTCTCCCCAACTAGACCGAGGACTACTTAGGGCTGGGAGGTGCTTGGTGAACCTGTAGTAGAAAAGCACAGGAGAGTCCCAGGAATGGTTCTCAGGTTTCCCTCTACTACTGAACCAGAGCTCTTTGCCCTGAAACTTGTATCTCACCTCCCCAAGATTCAGTTCCCTCACCTGGAAAACGGGGTGATGAGTGCCCATCTGGCAGGATTGTTGTGAGGCTTACAGAGGCTCATGGTGGGCACCCCATCGGGAGTCAATGATTATGATAATGACAGTCACCCCTGCTGGCCTTGCAGGGGGGGGGGGCCACAGTCATCCCTCCCAGCCTCACCTGAGCAGCGTTTCTGCAGCCTCAGGATTTCCAGGTGCAGGTCTCGCAGCAGGGCCATCTGCTCTTTTTTCAGGAAGCTGATGTGGCGTTGCACGCTCTGGATCTGATGCTCCAGGGACATGGTATCCATGGAAACCCAGTCCTGGGCCCCACCTGAGGAGGATGACAAAGTGAGCCCACATCTTCTAGGCCCATCTGCCCTCAGATCCCATTACAGTCTCCTTGAATCTGAGGTCCTGTTGCCACCAGGTAGACGATTCTGCTTCTGTGGTCATTTCTCCTGTATTTCCTCACCAACGCGTCATGAACACGTGGGCGGGTTGGCAGGGAAGTGTAATTATTCCCATTTAACAGATGAAAAACCAGCGGTCCAGAGGGAAATGGCTTCACTCCCCTTTCCCATGGTCTCTTTTACGTCTCAGAGAGGAAAACCAAAGGAGCAGCAAAGTCAGTAAAGACAGACAGAGACCGGTTCTAGCCCGCTTCTTAACCAGCTGTGTGACTTTAGGCAAGCGCTCTCCCTCTCTGGGCTTTTGGTTTTCTCATGGCTAAACTAAGAGAGTTGTGGAACGGAACAACCCTGAGGTCTCTTCCACCTCTGCCGCCCTGCAAGCATCCCAGCTCATGAGTGACCCTCACCTGACAGGGCAGTGGGGTGGTTCTGAGCACACCCTTTCCCAATTCAACTCCATTTCTCTAACCCCATTCCATAACCCCAACCCAGAGCTCTGGGCTCTTCTAGGTCATGGAGGAGGAAGGTCTGATGGATGTTTTACTAACACTAACTCTGTGGGCTGAAGGCAGGTGGTGGAGTTCTTTTTTAAAAGAGGAATGGGAGAGGGTGCTAAGGAGACCCATGCAGTAAATCCGTGGTGGAAACAAAACCTAAGACACTGTGATGGGAGGGGGAGGTTTGCATCCCTGAATCCAAAAGATGGCCTGGGGGCCGGCCGAGTGGCGCGATGGTTAAGAACTCGCTTGGGACACCAGAGGGCCCCGGTTCGGATCCCACATATGAGGGCCAGCGACACTGCCCTCCACAGCTAAGATGCTGAACAACAGCTCAACCTGGAGCTGGGCTGCCATGAGTTGCCGGCGGCAGCATAGGCTGCAGCCCCTTTGGCAGTGGGTTGCCATGGGCTACCGTGTGTAGCCAGCAGCCAGCGTGAGCAGCCAGCAGCCACAGTGAGCGGCCGTCCAGAAGCCGGCGACTGATCTGCCTCACCAGGGAAGAGCGCAATGACGGTGCCAACTTGGGCCAGTGAAGCAACATCCTCCACAACTAGATTGAAGAACAAAAATGACAGCAACTTGTCTGTTCCCCTTCCCCCAGTTCCCCAGCACTGTTCCCATTCCCCCAATTCCCCAATAAAAATCTTAAAAAAAAAAAAAAAGATGGTCTGGCCTTTCAGCGCTCCCTCTTTTGGCCCCACCCCTTACCCAGTGAGCCTTTCCTGTAATCATCAGCGTCCTGGAAAAGCAGAGGCAGGGGCAAAATTGAGGTAGGCAGCAGTGGAGGTCCAGACCCCTGGAGCCCAGGACTCAGCTCATGCCTTCTCTGCCAGGGACTCCCTAAGCTTTTGAAGGAGCTGCCTCCACTTGCCGCAGGAATTCCCTGGACAGTGGAGACGGAGGCCAGTGGATGGATAGACGGCCCTGTTCAGCAAACGGTCCCCTCCAGACGGGCTTCCATGTAAGTCTCTGTGAATGCAGATTTTCATTTATAGGGTCACCTCCAAGCAGGTCCACCTGAGACTCTCACGGTCATAGGCTTCTCTTTCTGGACGTCCTTCCCTCATGTCCCCCTGACTCTCCTAGTCCAA